ATCTTGGTTGCTCTTCTCTGCACTCTTTCCATAGTCTCTACATCTTTTTTTATAGTGTGGTGACCAGAACTGGATGCAATATTCCAGGTGTGGCCTTACCAAGGCATTATCAAGTGGTATCAACACTGAATGTGATCTTGATTCTATCCCTCTGTTAATGCAGCCTTTTTGGGCTGCCACCACACACGGCTGTGCTCATATTTAGCTGGTTGTCCACTAAGATGCCCAAGATCCTTCTCACATTTAGTGCTCTTAAGCCTGGTTTCCCCCAGTCTATATGTGTGCTTTTTTCTTTTTCCTTGCCTAAGGCTTCACTTTTCTCTACATTGAATTTCATTTTGTTGGATAGGATCCAGTGTTCAAGTCGGTCAAGATCTTTTTATATCTTGAACTTGTCTTGCAGGGTTTTGGCTATTTCTGCCAGCGTAGCGCTGTCTGCAAATTTCATGACTTCTTCTTTTCTTCCCTCAACTAGATCTTTTAGGAAGACGTTGAAAAATGTTGGGTCCCAAAAAGGAACCTTGGGATTTCTCTGGTGCTTACTTCCCTCCATGTAGATGTAGTTTGTTGTGGACTATATGTTGAGTATGATTTATCAGCCAGTTAAAAAACCCCTCTGGTGTTGTTGTTATTGTATCTATCTCATATTTTTCTAGCTTGCACAGGAAGTAGGTTGTGGTCTACTTTATCAAAGGCTTCTCTCTTCTGGGGAACAGTTTCATTAATTTAATGCGCCATAAGAAGACATTGTTGGTTTTCTGATTTATTATTTGTATTTTCCATTTCATTATTAAGACCTCAGCTGATTTCATTTGTGGCCTCTTTTCCTATAGCTCTCTTGACATGTTTAAATCCATTTTTGGATCCACAACATCTTTTTCCACCTCACTTTTATCATATATATTTTAAACCCCAAATCCACAAACTTTCTCTCATTTGGGTTTGGTCACCCTCTCCATTTTGGAGCCCTCCAGATGTTTTCACTGGAGAATTTGCGAGTTGGAAACCCACATATCTGGAGAACATTACACTGGAAGTGGGGCAGAAAGCACCCCAGTGGGTGAACAAGTCAAAAGGGCAAACTTTTAGTGATACTGGTCAGGATGGAAGAACCAGGTCCACACATTAAGGTTAAAATTGAAATAATTTATTACTAAAAGCCCATGCTTTCCAAATGTTAACTAGACTTTGTTAAGTTGTTTTCCTTGAAAATATTTTGCTTATATACAAATGCTTCCATTCTCCACTGGTCGGTTAGAACTAAAGAAGCTTCTTGAAAGAGAAGTGATACAATTTCAAGAAAAAATAATCAAGAACGTCCAGTGGGCTTTAAAAACACACACACACACACATTTGGGACAACCACAATCTGCATGGTTGAGAATCTCCATAGACAAGGAGGTTGGACTTAGTTTGCTTGTGTCTACTTAGGGATTCTAGGCTGATTCCTTGTTTAACTCTGCCTCCAAGTTCTGCCACTCCTTTTCCTACATCATGAGCCCAAAGGAGAGGTGGGAATTCCATAATTAAAAGGGAGTATTATCTATTACCTATTCATCAAATTACTGAGGGGTGGGGGAGGAGCACAGGACTATGAAGTTACAATTTTGATGTGCATTTTTAATAGCTTCGTTCTGCTGAGTTTGGAAAGGAAAAATGAAAATTGCCCAAGATGTATTACTAGGTACAGTTGACATTTCACTGCCCATAATTTTTTTTGGGGGGAGAATAAATTTAGTTTGTTTATGCATTAATATGGTTGGAAGAAATATCCGGTATGGTTCCAAGCTGGGAGAAAGACGTCGGAAATAAAATGGTGGCTTGCTAGCTGGAAAGAATAATGGAGGCTGGCTGAAGGAAAGAATGCCTCTGTTTATTTGGATTTCCAGAAACTTCAGGGACAGCAGCATGTTTCTTGGGTGGCTGACAAAATGGGGTGGGGATAGGTAGACTTAGACTAACTTTATTGTCACTTTGGGTGGGCTTCTATACATCCTTTGGGATTTTGTGATTTGAGATGCTCCAGGAGGGTTGTGCAATATAGTGAGCCTTGTGCCTTTTGTTATTCTAATGGTGGTGAGTAAATCCTATTATGTCCTAAAGGTGCTTAGAATTTGGGTGGGGGGGATGTAAATTCTTAATCTGTTTATGAATAGATTGGCCTGGATTTCTTAATGGACAGAAAATATCCATTTCTAAAGACTTCAGGCATCTGCTGGAAGCTGTTTCTTATAGCAGGAAGACTGGGGCTGCCTTTTTTGCCTTTAAAAGCATGTTTCTCCATTTCTCCTTTGGGGAAATACAACATTCTGCCTCTTTTAATATTTCCTGAAATATTTATTTTATTGCACGAAATGAGAAATTAAATCTATTGCACTCGCTGCTGGTTTAAATGGCGAAAATACATTCTTAACCTTTAAGGGAAATAGTTTGCCTTCGGACATTGTGGAGGCTTTTTATAGTGTGGTGACCAAAACTGGATGCAGTACTCTAGGTGTGACCTCACTAAGGCTTTATAGAGTGGTATTAGTACCTCCCTGGATCTTGATTGTATCCCCCTGTTAATGCAATTTAGGATTGTGTTGGCATTTTTGGCTGCTGCTGCACACTGGGTTGGACTAAATGGGCCTCCAAAGATCTCTTCCAACTATGTTATTCCGTATTCGATCTCAGTTCCTTGGGTTCCTGAAGTGTGTGTGTGTGTGTATTGGTCAATTTCCAACCTTGGTCCTTTGAGACATGTTGTTAGCCCACAAAGTAGGGCTTTTCAAGGTCACAACTGTGGGGTGTATTTTTTTAGCTGCGGGGAGACACACATGATCTTTTAATCCTGATTTCCTGTCTGGTTCTCTCCCCTTTGTGTTGCGTGTCCTTAAGTGAGGGTGGAATCCTCCTGAATGAGGAGGAATATAAATGTTGTCAGATTTTTAATTTATTACTTGGGATGCAACAAGTGTCCCCTCAGTGTTAAAAGTGCCAAATTGTCCGGCACCAGTTTAACAAACAGAGACGCTTACTGATTCTGTGATGGAGTGCAGAGATCTCAGATTTCACAGAATCTTAACAATCCAAAGGCTAGAAGGGACCTTGACTTCTATCATCTCAGACAAAGCTTTTGTTGAAAACTTCCAGTGAAGAGAAGGACCAGGGGAGACATGATAACGGTCTTCCAAGATTTGAGGGGCCGCCACAGGGAGGAAAGGGTCAATCTATTTTCTAAAGCGCCTGTAAGCCAGGCAAGGAACAATGGATGGAAACTGAACAATTCAACCTGGAAATAAGGAGAAATTTTCTGGCAGTGAGAACAATCACCCAATGGAACAGAAGTTGCCTTCGGAAGTCGTGGGAGACATGATAGCGGTCTTCCAAGATTTGAGGGGCCGCCACAGGGAGGAGGAAGGGGTCAAGCTGTTTTCTAAAGCGCCTGTAAGCCAGACAAGGAACAATGGATGGAAACTGAACAATTCAACCTGGAAATAAAGAGAAATTTTCTGACAGTGAGAACAATCAACCCATGGAATAGAAGTTGCCTTCGGAAGTTGTGGGAGCGCCATCAGTCGAGACTCTCAAGAAGAGATTGGACTGCCATTTGTCAGAAATGGTGTAGGGTCTCCCGCTTGGGCGGGGGGTTGGACTAGATGACCTCCAAGGTCCCTTCCGACTCTGTCAATCGGACCCATGCCTCCTGTTGGCAGAGTGTTTATTGTGTCAATTTAAGATCTTCTCTCCTTGTGAAAAGCCAGCGGGTAGAAATTTCAACCTTGAGAGCCGATAGTATTCTACCAATTTCTGGTCAATTGCGCAATTATGTGGGATGAGAGCTTCTAAATCTCACATAGAAGGTCTCACATAGAATAACAGGGTTGGAAGGGACCTTGGAGGTCATCTATTCCCACCCCTTGCTCAAGCAGGAGAGTCCATACCATTTCAGATGGTTCTTCATTGTCTGGAGTGGCCTCCGGGAGAAATTGGGGGAATGGGTGGGGTGGGGGAAAGAAAGGTTAGGAAAATTGGAATATGCCAGGGGAAATTTGCTTCTGCAGGATCAATTCCAGGTGGGGGATTTTTAAAAAAAATATCAATAAAGGAGAATATTTGTAGCTGATTTGTGGGGGTCCTTGATTCACTCTGAACTTGGTAGGTTTCTTGATGACACAGCTTGTTAGTGCCTGGAGGAGGTGGGGTTTGCAGAGGGGAGGAGGAAGAGGAAGATGAAGATGGTGGGGCCTTTTGTGATCTCTTGGTTGTTTTCTTGCAGACGCTTCATTACCAAACTAGAGAACATCATCAGTGCTAGAAGGGAGTGGAGTTGAGGAGGACTACGGGGTCCTTAGTGTTCCCTGAGCTTGATTATTTTTGCTTGGAGGCATTTCACTACCTAACTGGGTAGCACCATCAATGCTAGAAGCGAGTGAGTGAGGTTTGTAGAGTAAGAAGAGGAGAAGGAAGAGGAGATTATGTGGGGTTCTTGATGCTCTCTGAGCTTGGTTGCTTGCAGACATTTCGCTACCTAACTGGGTAGCCTCATCAGTGCTAGAAGTGAGTGAGTGAGGTTTGTAAAGAAAAGGAGGAGGAGGAAGAGGAGACTATGTGAGGTTCTTGACGCTCTCTGAGCTTGTTGCTTGCTTGCAG